GCCTGGGCAACTTGATGAGACGTCATCTCTACAATAAATCAAAAACTTAGCCGGGCGTGGTAGCGTGTGCCTGTAGTTCCAGCTACTTGGAAGGCTGAGGTGGCAGGATCGCCGGCACCCAGCAGGTCAAGGCTGTGGTGGCTGGGAGCAGCCACTGCACTCCAGTCTGGGCGACAGAGTGAGACTCCAACTCAAAAAAAAAAAAGAATAAAAAAAAGAAAGATCAGTCTGGCTACAGTGTGGAGGATGGACTGGAAGCAAGATGACAGCAAGGATGTTATTACAATGTACTGAGAAATGGTGGCCTGAACCAGAGTACAGATGGAAATGGAAGGGAATAGATTTAGGAGATTAAGTAGACAAAGTCTTATAGGTCTTGGTGGCTGACAGGATGTATAACTGGGGATGTGAGAAGTAGGAGCCTAGGATGACTGGCAGGGCTGCAGTAGGCTCTATACAATAGCTCCTAATACCAAGTCTAATCAATTCGTGCGCCACATGGGCATTCTCACTCTCCACACCTGCCAGCCACTTAAACCATGTCTCAAAGAGTTAAAGGCTAACTTGAAATAAATAGCTTTTCTTTTCGCAAAAACCTGGTGTCATATTATTGGCTTCTAACACATCAAGCATGGAGCCCTTTTGCTTGGTGACACCACCATCTCCACACTTTTACTCAAGCTTTTCCTGACGTCTGGGATCAGGAAACCCTCCTTCCTTCCTATCCATCTTTTCATATACATATGACTCAATTCCATTTTTTTCTGGTAAGTTCTCTCTCAACTAGTCCCAATCTACTTCTCCCTCTGTAACCTCCCTCAGCATTGCTGTGAGCCACTCAGTGGAAGGAATGAGAAGTGGGCCGTCTCTTAAGCATCAGACAACGGGCTCAGGCTGAGTTGATTTAGATTTGTGTCTTAAGTATACCGCTCGGTGCATGGGGGCACTGATGAGGGAGAAATGGACCTATGTAAATGGAAACGGGGGAGGGGTGCTGAGATTTCAGACGGGTGCACAAAGTTTCTATATTCAGTCCAGTACTGATGATTGGCAATATCATGAATTATCCTTTTGTTAGTAGATGGAACAAATCAGGCAATTGTTTTCCTGTTCATCGCTAGGAATGCCCTTCCCTCCTCAGCTAAACTAAATCATAGTCATGCAAAACCTTGCCCTCTCCAAAATCCTTCAGGAAGCTTCCAAGGTGACTTTGCCCCATGAGTCCCTTTCTTCCCATGAGTTATGTAGGTGACAATCAGTCACACAGGTTACTGGATTATATAGTGTCTCCCCTTAATCAATCCGGCATTATATGGGGTAAAAGGACACACATGCTTCTTTTATCTTTTTAACCCAAGCCCTCGTTGGCATCCTGTCCTTGTCGTCAGATGGACACAGGGACACAGAAGTCCGGGGAAGATCAGAGACTCCCGGGTCCTCAGCGGGTTGCAAGCAGCCAATCATACACCTCGCCCTAGAACCACAGGAGGATCAACAAACCTGGAAGGGGTAAACCTCGAAGCCAAAAGGACACAGCGTGTCCTCGATCTTCTGCTTCAGTTCTGCGACTTGTGGCTCCATAGCGCACGCTACGCGCTGAGCTTGCTGGGGAATGGAGTCTCAAGGACAACTGAACAGTTATGTTTAGAAACAACTTGGACTCCATTTCCCAGAAAGTACTGGAATCAGCAGCGGAATATCGTTGGCTCTGCGCGATGCATCTTGGGAAACGTAGTTCGTTTGGTTCTTGAGGCCGACGGCATGAAACCAGAAAGACTCGGTTTCCCAGCAAGCCTCACGGTGGGGGTGTGAATGCACCGTGTCGCATCCCAGAAAACGTAATTCTGCCGCTTCCATCGCCATTTATCTCTGCGAGAGGCGAACTCAGTTTCCCAGGTGGTGGTGCGGCAGCCATTCTGAAGTCGGGTTTTCCCCACTTACCTGAGGTTTTTTGAATCCAGCGGCGGCAGTTGTCGCTGGCACAGGTTTGGCGTGATGGCGCCAGTGTCGTGGATCTGGGGCGTTCTCGTCCAAGGCTTGGCACCAACTCCCATCTGATGTCTGCGTATTATCAGGGTAACGCCTTTCTCCCCCAATTCCCCAAGAGCGTCTTCCCTTACCTAGTCCCAGAGTCTCAGTTTTGGTCTGATATTGCATCCCTCACTCCTAGTATTGCATCCCTACTTATCTCTTCAATCTAACGTGACTGTACCTCGGATATCCCAACTGAGAGAGCAAGGGCAGAAGACGCCACGGAGCCCGACCCCTGCCACAGGTTATGAGTAGGAATCTGAACTGGTCTGAGCAGCTCAATGCACTTCCCAATACTACTGATGGAAATGTGGCTCGGATTAAGGTGAGGGATCGGGGAAAGCCCCCAGTTTGCATGGGCAGATTAAGGGACTTTCACATAGAGCACTATGGCCTGTGTAATTGTTTCTTTTGTAGCAACGCCTGTATCCTCTTGGGGTCTCCACTGCGGGTAAGTATGGTCCCTTTCTATTCCCTAACCTTTTTTCTTTCCAAGATCTACCTTCTTCCATTGTGTGTATCATCCACTACTTCCAAATCCTGATTCTTTCCTTTCCTGAACTCTGCTCCCTACACAGATAGACTCTGCACTTATCCCTTCCTTATTCCTTCAACAGGGGACCTGGCTGGGACCTGGATTTCCTCTCATCACTTGCCTCCCCAGTCAAGAGTACAAGCTCAACAGCCTTTGGCTCTAGAGACTCTCCCAGTTCCAGAAGGACTGAACTGGCCTGAAGCCTACAGACCATCCTCTCTCTGGGACGCAGTTACTATCCTCCGATCCCAGCTTCGATCTCAGGTTCAGGTGAGACTTGGAATCTTGGGTGTGTATATATATTTGTTTGAGATGAGAATACTTGGTTTTGGGAAAGCCTCTTACACAGTAGCTTGTGTGTTTTTTCTACCTGGGTAGGTGACTGAGGTGCTAAGGCAGGCTGTTCAGAGCCTGCTGGAAGAGCGAGAGCAGCAGAAGTACCAGATCAGTACCCTGGAAGGTATCTGGCCAGTTCTTTTCTTCATACACACAGCTTCACATGTGTGTGCATGCACATGTGTCTTTTTTTTTTTTTTTGAGTTGAAGTCTCACTCCATTGCCCAGGCTTGAGTGCAGTGGCACACTCACCGCCATCCCAGTGTCGACCTGTTGAGCTCCGGTGATCCTTCTGCCTTAGCCTTCCAAGTAGCTGGAACTATAGGTGTGCGATACCACACCTGGCTAATTTTTGATTTATTGTAGAGATGAGATCTCACCAAGTTGCCCGAGCTGATCTTGAACCCGTGGGCTCAGGCAATCCATCTGCCTTGGCCTCCCAAAGTGCTGGGATTACAGGTGAAACCACCGAGCTCGGCCTTTTTTTTTTTTAATTCAGGGTTTGACTCTGTTGGAGTGCAGTAACATGATCATGGCTCACTGGCTTGACCTCCTGGGTTCAGGTGATACTCCCGCCTCAGTCTCCTGAGTAGCTGAGACTATAGGCGTACACCACCATGCCCAGCTAATTTTTTGATTTTTTTTCAGAGACGAGGTCTTACTATGTTGCCCAAGCTGGTCTTGAACTCCTGGACCCAAGCAGTCGTCTCAGGCCTGTGCTGTGCAGTGGCTCACACCTGTAATCCTAGAACTGTGGGAGGCCAAGGCAAGAGGTTTGCTTGAACACAGGAGTTCAAGACCAGCCTGGGCAACATAGCAACAGTTTCATCTCTACCAAAAAATAAAAAATGCCGGACATGGTGACTCATGCCTGTAATCCCAGTAATTTGGGAGGCAGAGGCTAGAGGATTGCCTCAGTCCAGGGGTTCGAGACCATTGTGGGCAACTTGACAAGACCTCATCTCTACAATAGATAAAAAAAAATTATCTGGGTGTGGTGGCACATGTCTGTGGTTCCAGCTACTTGGCAGGCTACGGCAGAAGGATCTCCTGAGCCCAGCAGGTCGAGGCTGCGGTGGCCATGAGGGTGCCAATGCACCCCAACCTTTTCGACACAGAGAGACTCCAACTCAAAAAAAATAAAAATTAAAAAAATCAGCTGAGTGGTGGTGTGTGCCTGTAGTTTCCTACTTGGGAGGCTGAGGCTTCCTTGCCTCAGCCCAGGAGGTTGAGGTTGTGATAAACTGTGATTGTGCTATTGCATTCCAGCCTGGGTGACAGAAACCCTGACTTAAAAAAAAAAAAAAAGCAAGCCAGGCTCAGTGGCTCAGCCTGTAATCCTGCGCCTTTGGGAGGCTGAGGTGAGTGGATTGCCTGAGCCCGCGGGTTCGGGACCCTCCTGGGCA